CTGATCTGCCGAAGTCCAAAGGGAAAACAGCCATCATGGTGGTGGTAGACCTACTAACAAAGATGTGCCACTTTGTAGCTTGCTCGCATGCAGTCACGGCGGAAGAGACAGCGAAGTTATTTGTAGAACACATTTTTAGGTTGCACGGGGTGCCATTGAGGGTGGTCTCAGACCGAGGAAAACAATTTACTTCCAGGTTCTGGAGGAAGCTCATGAGCTTACTGCAGGTGGAGGTCAACTTTTCGACTGCCCGGCACCCTGAAACCAACGGGCAGGCGGAAAGAGCAAACGGTGTCCTCCAGCAATACCTGAGGTGTTATGTCAATGACAGAGAGAATGACTGGGTAGAAAAGTTGGCGCTGGCGGAATTTGCCTACAACAATGCCGAGAATGTGTCCACAGGGATGAGCCCCTTCTTGGCTAATTATGGGTGTCATCCCAGGGCTTTCCCAGGGGAGAAGGGGAGAGATGGAGCGCACCGGCAGCCGAGCATTTTGTAGAAGAAATGGAAGCAATCCACCGTCAGCTCCAACTCAACTTAGAAAGGGCGAAGGAAGAATACAAGAGGCAGGCAGACAAGAACCGAAGGGAAGGTGAAACCATAAGGGTTGGAGATAGGGTGTGGCTGTCAACCCGCGGGCTCCCGTTCAAAGGAGGTTGTAAGAAATTACGACCCAGGAGGTTGGGTCCCTTTGAGGTCATTCAACAGGTCAACCCAGTGGCTTTCAGGCTCCGGTTACCCAACCACATGAAACTGCACCCAGTATTTCACAGGTCGTTACTGTCACCGTACGAGGGGGGACGAGAAGGGATGGCCACTCGGGACCGGTCATAGAAGAAAGAGAATGCAGCAGTCATGTGGCAGAAATCCTTGATGCCAGGTGGAAGGGGAATCAGGTGGAGTATTTGGTAGCGTGGGAAGGAGAACCGGGTCAGAAAACACGTGGGTAATGGCCAAAGATATCAATGACGAGGTATTGATAGAAATGTTCCATCAAAGGTTCCCGCGGAAACCTCAGCCTGTGGAGAGGTTCCGGAGGGAATACTTTGGGACCACTGAGGAGGAGGAGGAGTTGGAAGGATTCCCAGAATCGGAAGGGGAAGGGGAGATGGACTCGGAGGAGGAGGAGTGCTTCGAGACCAGGAACCGCAACAGGTGGAGAGAAGTGTTCGAGACATCGGAAGATGAAGGAAGTTCATTCCGGGTTTTGCCTCCTCACCGCCCGTAGAGGAGGGGGCGAGAGGGGGTGAAGGGGGCCCTGGAGGGGAGGTGGATGTCAGGGAACTGCCATCGGAAGGAAGGGAGGTGAAAGGACTCAGACAGGTTGGAAGAGATTCAGCAGCTGAAGAGGGAACCAGCAAGGGGAGAGAAGCTGAACTGAGGGAGGTGAAAGGGCTCAGACAGGTTGGAAGAGACTCAGCAGCGGAACAGGAAACCAGTAGGGGGAGAGAAGCTGAACTGAGGGAAAGGGAGCGGGGGGGATGGCTCAGAGATACTTCCAGCGAAAACAGTGGTGAGGTTTCCGGACCTCCTGTAGCGACACCCACTCCTCGCCGGAAACTGTCACGCAGAGAGTCCAGAAGACGTGTTTCCGTTAAGGAGCTTTTATGTTGGAAGCGATTACGAAAGCAACCACTGTCGGAATCTTCTAGTGACTAGAGGAGCCATGTCAGAGGGGCTCAGTCACAGACAGAGGTTTGTGGACTTGAACAAACTCTGAGGGAATACGATTTTACGCACAAGCAGCTCATAATCCCATCACAAGGCATGAAGTTCACAGAGTGACCTTGGGCAGGTCACTGTTATTTTATGTATTTATTTGGCGCATTTCTTGCCTGGCCTTTAGATAACATGGAGTATGGGTAATCATGTTTGTCACCTTGAACAAAAAGTACAGTAAATAAAGGCACCATGTAACATAACGCATTGCATGCGAAAGTGTGTCCTATCAAATGTCCATTGACAGAACCATCAAGCAGCTGCAGACATGGATAAAAATTGAAATATATTGTCAGATTTTAGGAAAACGGGACAAATGCTCTCTGCCTTCTACAATGATTTATGGATGTCTGGAAGCTGGGAATCTCTTTGAGCAGGGAATGACAAGTGAGAAGAACTCGCTCCACATTTTCACTAACTTCATATTGCGTGGGAAGGGGACTTTTGAGCAGGGCCTCTCCTGCTGTTCTGAACAGGTGCTCCCTAAAATGTGCCAAGATTTTTTAGTGATGCATTTTCTGGTGAGGACCTGTTCCCCTTCCAAGAACACTGCATACCTTGGAAGAATAACACCCCATCCTTTAAGCAGCTTTTTTGTCTCCTGGCCTGAGGCAGATATTACTCTGTCCATCCATTCATCGATCTTACCTTCCACTTTTCATCCTGACCCATTTCAAATTAAAACAGACCATAGCACAGAAACACACACATCGCAGATGAACGAATGCACAGGGACAACTACTAAGCACTGGCAAGGTAACTTTTGCTCTGGCAACATGTACAAGCACATGTAGAGCATTATGTTAAGTGGGCCAAAGCAGGAGGGCTTGCCAGGGAGTCTATTGGATGTGGGGGGACCCAATAAGCCCAGGTGATTGCTTGTTTCACACATGCACACATGCTGTGAGGTCACAGAAGTGTCTTTTATGCTACTGTATCTGTGTTGGAACCCCAGCTCCTTTGGTTTATGTACTTGCCATTTCCCAGCTACGACCAAATGCTCCCTTCCCTCCTCAACACCAAACTGTGGCGCTGTATTCATATGGAAACGCTTCCTCAGAGATCGGACGCCTTGGAGGCCAGCTGCTTTTAAAAAAAACAACAACCAGCAAGTGTGATTCCAGCAAGATAACTAGTCTGCAAAGCAAAATTTGCTTCCAGTAAGCCTGGCAAGAGCCAGCAAGATCATATAGCAGCCAGCTTGTAACAAACATTTCACAACCATCCTTTCTTTCTTTCTAGTTCTAACTTATTCATTCAAAGCCTTTGGATTATTATTTTTATTTCTTGTACTGTGCCTCTCTTCAGTCAAAATAGCTCCCTGACCTAGTAGTTTCCATCCCCATATTTAAATTAACACTCCAGACTAGGCTGAGTTATGTCTGCACCATATATCCTCTCATTATATTTTTATATCATTGCCAGAGATGACACAAGGCATTTTGCTGCCTGAGGCAAAGGACAAGATGGCGCCTCCCATTCCATGCACAAACGCCAACTGGCCTGGCTTGGACTAGAATCTTCCACCGGACCTGAAGGCATCAGGCTAAGCCATGTGGTCAACATTTGCCACACTCAGTGTGCAGCAGCGGTGAAAAAGGCAAATCCCATGCTAGGGATCGTTAGGAAAGGAGACGAAAATAAAACTGCTGATCTCAAGAGGCTGTTATACAAATCTTTGGTGTCACTGCATTTGGAATACTGTGTACAGTTCTGCCCACCTCATCTCAAAAAAAGAAAAAAGAAAAAAAATAATGTGGAGTTGGGGAATGTTCAGAAAGGGCAGACAAAATGATCAAGGGGATGAAACAATTTTCCTTTTTGGGGCTTTGACTGTATGGCATGTATGCAACTTCTCTTTCTCCTAATGCTAGCAGGAGAAAGGTGGTCCTGTTCCCGACTTTACAAGTGCAACTCTCTATTCTGGAGGCTGTCAGAAGACATCCATTTGAAGGCATCCTCTATGGTGTATGGAGTGGGTGTGAGTTTTCTTTTTTCTCATGTTCACAGATAAATTTACAGCAACATCCTGCACATGCCTACTCAGAAGTTTGTCCCACTGAGTTAAAAAAGGCTTACTACCGGATAAGTGGATAGAGGATTGCAACCATAGTTGATTATAACAGGGCTTGCCAATGTAAAATTGTGCACATTGCTGTGTAAAATTTCCACGTTTCTTTGTAATCAGGAATCTCTGGAAAAATTCTTTGGAGATCATCTTGTACCTGGAGCTCAAGTATACAATTTGTGCTAGCAACATTGGATTGTACATGGTTCCAGGAACTTGAAGTTTAGATCCCCTTGATTACAGGGAGCCTTACTTCTCGGCGTATCTATAGAATTTCAGCCTGAAAGCCACTGTTAATACAGCCATGCCATCGAAAGCTTTCTGTATGTAATTTCTGTGTGAGGCTCCTGTTAAAGATAAAGGAGTGGGACCAATTAAAAAAGTGACTACATCTACCAATGACTGTTTGTTTGTTTGTTTGTTTGTTTGTTTGTTTGTGGCATTTACACTACTGCCCTTTAGCCATTTTCTGATTTGCCCACTGCCCCACCAGCCCCAATGACCACCTGTCACTGATTACTACTATAAGTAGGTGAGACAAGAGGAAGGGATTTATGATTACTGGAGTTTTTGGGTAAAGTAAGGAGCTTTGGGTTGTTTAAACAGGCCTTCTTGAAGTTGGTGTCCTCCAGGTATCTTGAAATACAACTCCCCATCAGACAACGTAGCCAATGGTTAGCAATGATGCAAGTTGTAGCCCAAAACATCTTGAGGACATCAAGTTGAGGAAGGCTGCCCTGGGCACTTCCTATCCACTTTCCAACACATCTTTTGCCCTTAATTCCTCCCCCCTCAGTTTTTTTCCTATCCTTTGACCCCACAGGCAATCAGTGACATGCACTACCTCTCTTCCCGCCATTACTTAGAAAAAAACAGTTCAACATTCTACAGCAATTCAAATACTTGATTCAGAAAAAAACCCCATGTAAAAATATGGAGCTTATAGACTTGAAAAAAAGAGGGGGGAAATGAACGCATTGCAGCATTATTTATTCTAAGTTGTGAATTTGAGTTTTCTTGGCACACGACCTGGGATTGCTTCCTGTAGAATTTTGGGATTTTTGGCACAGAATCTTGACTCTCTTGCTCATAAGTAATGGCTAACCCAAGAACAGTCTGTCTTCACATTTTCCCTTGATTCTCAACATTCTGTTTTCAAAGCCAGAAACAGGAACTCTACACTTTTTTTGTGGTTTTCATAATTTTCTAAATATATTCGGAAATGGCACTGTTTTCTCTTTCTTGATTTGTAGTTCTTAAAGTTCTTCCGTTCTCTCAGAACCCCAACCCCCAAAGAAATTTCAGAAATCAGTCAGATGCCATCACCGGAAGGATACTGAATTAGAAATGGATATGTATAATATATCTCTATATGTTTACTCTTTTTAAGCAAGAGGAAAAGACTGGTGAGCAATCTGACCATGTTTTCTGGAAGGTATTTTGAAAACCCATTATCCAGCAGGAATGAGCCTGGATGTATTGGGCCCTACTCTGTATCGGGTGCAGAGAGACATCGTGGATCAATTCCATGCAAGCCCCCCCTCAAATAGTTGGCCCAGCTTCCGCAGCACCAACCAGCTGTTAGAAGCAGTAAGTGGGGACTCAATCCAACTTTCTCTGTGTGCTCCATTTCCCTGAACAGGTGATCAACCAGCCTGCTATTGAGCATGCTTTTACATGCAGGAACCTGTGGGTTGGGGCCAATATGGCTTTTAAGTAAGTGCCGTGCATCACCAGCCTACCCCCTTTGGGATTCAGACAGCACTTTACAACTTGTACACACATTTTTGTTAATTACAACAGCCATCCTACAACTTTCGTTCCAGTCATTCAACAGTGAACCTCAGACAAGCACCTTAAGGGGGGAAGTGTCTGCCAGACAGCAGGCCTTTCCAAAAATAAGATTTGTACCATTACCATTTGTTGTTGTAGCAAACAAGCGATGATCTATATACTGTTCATCTCGTTCCAAGCTGTTTTGCTACCAAGAGAAAATGATTTTCAAACATCCAACCGCACTAGGCTCACAGTGGCCTGGGCTTGAGCCAGCACATTCAAGAGAGGTACACCTTGGTCGAAAGCTCTGTAGTGTTGACAAGGTAAGGCTGCCAGGACCAAAGAGTTCAAATTCGTCTTGGCATCATGTGTTCGCTAGATATTTCACAGATGTATTGGGGAATGGGAAGCTGTTGAAGACGAATCTGTTTCTCTGGAAGCACATAAGCAACATATCTTCTGGGGAGTGCAGGCTGTCCAAAGGCAACCTGAGATGCAAACTGGAAGAAAGGAGGTGGCGATGCCAAGTATTTTCCAGTAAAGCAGATGAAAACGAATAAAGGAAATACGCAAAAATGTCGGGGAGGGAGGCACACTCCCCCCCCTTTTTGTGTGAAAGAAACCAATAAAAGTCTACAGCACAATCCCAGAAACTGAATAAAAGAAATCAAAAAATTGTGTCCCATTGACTGGAAATGGGTAGCTAAATTTATGGGAGGAGGTCTTATTAGTCAGCATGGTTGCAGGGTTTGGCTAGACCATAGGTAAGCTGGCTCTTGACTTAAGACAAGAATCAGCTGGAAGGGCCCCACTTTTTTGTTGACACTTTCAAGTCTGTTCAGTGAGTCATCAGCTGCCTCACAGGCACTTTAGAGTGGATTAATGCTTGACTTCCAGCTAACACATTAGACCTCTTAAGAAAAGAAGTTGTCAATAAACTATAAAGCTCCATTTCTATTACATACATAAATTACTTGGTAGCCACCTGAATTAAATTTAATGGAAAGAAGTCCTATTGACTCAATTAATTAATTAATTAATTAGGAAAAGGAGGAGAAGAGATACACACAGAGTGGTTTTATTTTGCAGCGCCCTTTTTTGGAAAAACCCTTAATATCATATTTACATGTTGTTTACTGAACTGTACTGTAAGATGACACTAACAATATTTATAACCCCACCCTGAAAATCAAGTTATGTTCAGTGGCTAATAATCACACCATCCCTTTAAAAACAGAATGACAGATCAGTGACAAAATTCAGAATTTGTAAACTATGATGAAATTGTTCTCTTGCCTTTATCCCCAAGAACAACTGTCCTGTAACTGAAATAACATTTGGCTTTTTGTATTTTGAACATGTGAACTCTTTAGACTTCTGAATCACTTTCCTATGAACACTCTTCAATCAGCCAATCAGTTTATTATTATTTTGTGGATTTTAAAAATTAGCAAATAATTTATGAAATTTAAAGAGACGTGTTATTTACAGCTGAGCTTTGTGCAGGATACACACACACAGCTAATGGCAGGATCACAGAATACTCTTTTAAATGTATGCAAGTAACTACGCATGCATAGAAAAGGACATGTGTATATGAACCAGCCTATTATGGATATGGCTGGCATCAGTTTTGTATTATTCCTGCAACAATTATACCAGCTGCTTGCAAGGGGGGGAGGGAAGTATTGTGTGAATTGACAGCCAGTGCTGATATGTCCCTAAGAATAAATGTCAATAGATTAAGTATGCTGGCAATATTCTTCTGCTCACATTACTTCCCCTTTCCCCTGGGATGAAATTGCAAACTCAACCAGTGCAACTGGCACTAAACCAAACATATTATGTAAAATAGCAACTAGAAGGGATAATACTGTGGGGATATAGGATTCCTTTCAGGATAAGAGAAAGCCCAAAGCAATCTTAAGTTATATGCAGCATCACTACAACTTTGATTTCTTTCCACACCTTTAACCAATTTTTTAGAGATTCTCTAGAGACACAGCTTTTCAGGCAGCATGAAAATGAGAGGTCAAAGAAACCCAACTGTTAATCTTCCTATTCTTTAATCAAAGAATCAAGGTCATCTGACTTGCAGACCAGAATTGATGTAAACCAAAATGGACATGAAGCCTATTGCAGCGATTGCTACAGAAGAAATGCAAGTTTAACTCATTGAAGCAGTCTTGGGACTACTCCAAGGGTGGGAGCAGAGGCAAGACACTGAAAAGGCTGATATGTAACACAAAACCAGGGTTTTAGCCATCAGACTCACACAGTCCGTATCCTGCACAGTCGTGTGGACAGCTTTGGTGGAGTTTACTTTTATTTTTTAAAGAATCCTAGCTTAACGTTACACTCAAACCAGGGATCCTAGTACAAAACAAGCTCCGGTTGGTTTAACAACCCAGCTGGGTTTCTTTAACACAGAAACAAAATCCTGCCAAAGAGCTTTGCCCAGCCATGCAGGAGGGAGGCGTGTAAACTCAACGCTCTGCGCACACTCATTCAGTGCTATGTCCATGTAGTGCTAAATGACAGTTTGTTCATAATTATTTAGTGAAATATACTTGAAGTCGAGTATTTCATGCTCTTTATTCAGCTCATAGTGGTGAGGAGGAATGGAAGTTCCCCCAGAATGTCTGCTTTATATACATTATTTACACAATGGGCCCCACGTGATTGGCTAATTCTGGGATTCTCCTGTAGGCCATTCAGGTTGTGGATTCACTTCCACCTGGAGATGGATTGGGTGGCTCCTGTGGACCAATCAGACTGCTGCATTCTGAATCCTATTGTTCTAGGACCAATCAGACTGCTGCATTCTGAATCCTATTGTTCTAGGACCAATCAGACTGCTGCATTTTGGATCCTATTCAACTCAGTACATAACATTTAGTTAAAAATATATACAGTCGTACCTCTGCTTACGTATCCCTCTGGATACGTAAACTTCGGGTTACAAACGCGACAAATCTGGAAGTGTATACTTCCGGGTTTTGCCATGCACGCATGCGCAGAAGCACTCAATTGCGCCGCATGGGTGCACAGAAAGGTGCCTCCAGTTACAAAGTTTTCGGGATCCCGTTCGTAATCGGAGGTACCATTGTATACCACTTCAAATGATAACAATCTCTAACCATTTACAAAAACATAATAAAAAATGCATTCAAATTACCAAAAACTAGATAAAAATGATACGTATCTCATAAATGAAATGGGAACAGCATACGTAACAAATAAAATAAAAATAAAGGCAGCCCCCCCCCAAGCCTGGGTAACCCTATGTCTTTGAGAGCTGCTTAAAGGTCATCACTCCCTCTGCCTCATGTATTACAGGGCATTCCAGAGGGAGCGTGTTACCACCAGGAAGCCCCACTTCCATCGCATCACTGAGGGTGGAGTTGAACATAGCACTAAGTGGGGTATGCATGCCTCCCTTTCCTCACCCAGTTGCTCCATAAACCCTTTCTGGGTGTTCATCCAATCCCTTAGAGCTGATTCAGGGTACAGAGAGATGGGAAGGCAAAGTCCCATTGTGTGAGAAGACCTCATTCTGTGCATGCAACAACTTAGTTGAATCCTGCCCTAAGAACAATTCGCTGGTTTTGGAACAATCAACAAGGTCTCATCCGAGGATCTTAAAAGATTAGCTCGGTATGTACTAGGGGAGGCAGTTTGCTAGATCTCCTGGTCCCACATTGTTTAGGCTGCAAACGTCAACAACAAAACCCTGAACTTGGCTCATTACCTAAAAGGCAGCCAGTGCAGATCTTCCAGCTTTCTCTAATTTGGTACTATGCCATGCCCCCACAGCAGACACTGTGTGTTATGCCACACACCCCACAGTGGTCACTTAATGACAGGTGCCCTTGGCACCACTCTTAATAAAAATAATCTATAAAATGATACACATTTTGATTTTTTTTATTATGTATTTTTGGGTTTCATTTTCATCCTTTTAGTCCAAAGTGAAAGGCTGAGCATCCCACTTAAGCTCCTTGGTAGCTGCATCTTGGGCTAGCTGCCGCTTCCAAACCACATTGTGGCTCAGCATGGTGTAGCATATATTCCTTTATGCAGCCTTTTCCAATTTGGTGCTCCCCAGATCCCCCAGTCAGCACAGCTAATATTGTCTGAAACATCCAGAGGACACCAGCTTAGTGAAGGCTGCTGTAGAAAAGAAATATTGCATGTGTACAGTCCCATAACTCAGGTTTGAGGCTTGTCCCTACCGTCACAAACACACACAAAGCCCGTTTGGTTCTGGTCAAAGGTCTGTCTAGCCCAGTAGCCTGCTTTCACAGTGGCTGAACAGAGTGCAACAACTCTTCCCGATTGCAATTGCCAGCCACTGGTATGCAGAAACATCATACAGAGTAGGTAGACCAGAACCATCGTAACTTGTAGCCACTGATATTTGCTCAATCCTCTTTTAAAGCCTTCCAAGCTGGCAGCCTTGCATCTAGCAGGACACTGAAAGGAGGAGAGCTTGTTATGGTGTAGGAGCCAAGTTCTCATTTAGTGCTGCACTAGAGCGGAGGATGGTTGCTGTAGAGTTATGTTTATTATTATTTATCACTAAGATTTATATCACACCTTTCCAATAAAATATCCAAAGCCAAAGCAGCATATAGTAGACATAATAAAACAGGACAGACAGTATCAAACAACATCAATGAAATCAGGTTTCTTGTTGTCAACTTCAGCCTTTGTCAATGTTACTTGTCCCAGCACTATAAAGTCATAAACTCCTTTTTAAACACTGGCTTCCCAGAAGACATTACCCAAGTTGAGTAAGCTCCCTTCATGTATTATTTTGTGCTAGCGACTATGTTCAGTGTGTGCGAGGCTAGAATTTATGACCTTCCAAAAGTATTTATTTTATTATGTTTATAATCTGTCATTTCTCCAGGGAACTTGTGGCAACATACATGGTTCTTTTATCCTCACAGCAACCTTATGAAAAATGTTTGGGCTGAGAGATAGGGATTGCCCAATGGTTATCCAGTGAGGGGGGATCTGCATCTGGGTCTCCCCAGTCCTAGTCCAACCATTTAACCACTCTGTCTTCCCACTTGCCATTGATTTTGCTTTAATGAAGGCAACTTTATAAGCTGTCACCTTTATGCAAGAACAAACACCACGGTGCTTCTGCAGAAGCACAACTGGACACCTTCCTCTGCCCCAGCTGCAACAAAGCATGTCTCTCCTGCATTGGTCTCTACATCTACAGCAGGCGCTGCAACCTGCCAGCAGTTTGACCTCACCATCAAAGGTGCACTCCTCCATTGTCTCCCAAGACAGATGGATGCCAACCAACCAATCAACATAGGAAGCTCTCTTATACCAGGTTAGACTACTGGCCCATCTAGCTTAGTAGCGTAGGCCCAGGGTTTCAGACTAGGGACAATCCCAGCCCAACCTCGATATGCTGGGAACAGAACCTGGGACCTTTTCCATGCAGTGCAGATGCTGCACTACAGAGCTATGGCCCTTCCCCATGGTTTGCTTCAGATGAGCTTTAATAATTGCAGTTGGCAAGTAGACATCCCCGTGATCGTATCACTTTTCCATTACTGTCAAACAGGCAGTGTGAAATGTCATTGTTCCCCACCACAACCCCCACAAATTCAATTTATGACCTTATCTTTTGTTTCTACCAATCACAAAAGAGCCACGGACTTTGGGGGTTGAGGACAGCACCTAATGTATTTTATAGATGAGCTTTGCTACGATATGCAGCAACTTTATCACATAATTAATTTACATATAAGTTACACATTGTCAAGTTCGTCTGACTTAATATTGGTTCAAGCTTAATTACAAATGTAGAGGCTGTTGAATTTTGTTGGCGTTTTGTTTGTGCGTTTTTTGACAACCAACCAATCAGGATTCAGAAAATCCAGATGGCAACTACATAACATACTATTAGCAGCCCGGCTGCATCCCAAGACAGTCCCTGCTAGGTATTTCTTTTACCTCATTATAAAAGAAGTGAAAACAGACAGGAATTCTTGGTTTTCAAACCACAGTACGTGATTCTTCTAATGGCCAGGTCAAAAAAACTCAACAATAATGCATCAACATACCAAAAGGATCACATGACATTTGTGAGGTTAGATCAAGTATTAAGTGAACAGAGGGAGCTTATTTACAATCTGTTAGACTAGGCTCCCATGGCCCTGTCACTTTTCACTGGAGATGGGCCTGAACCAAAACCTCAGGCCTATTCTGAACTGTGTGTGAATTCAGATCCTCATCATGCAAAACAAGACGGTTGGCAAGGGTACTTTCACATCTCCAGGTGCACAGAGTACGCTGCAAGGAAGGAGGAATAATCTTGTGGTTTTGGCTGATGCCTGGGAGCCAGAAGACTCGGGATTATTCTTCGCTCTCCCCTAGCCCCTGTGAATTTTAGGCACTCGGATACTTCAGGACGAAAAACACACATAATGAGAGTAAAGAAGCGAAAATACTCAGCAAGTGAACCTTGTTTCAATAATAAAAGCAGGGGAGGAACTGAGTTATATTTAACTATAATAGCATATACATATTGTATCTTTGGCACATCCCAAGGACTAAAATTAGTGAAACATGGTACTATATCTTGATATGCATTTGTTTGTAGTAACTTCTATAAATATTGTTGCCACTTCCATGGGGAGAAGTGTTGTCAATTTATCACTGCTGGCTAGAATTATTTTCTCAGCTGTGGAGCAGGTTAATTGTGGACACTAATAGAGAGGAATGCAGGGTAAACATTCCTTATACCATTAATGTATGTCATTATTTTAGCAGCTGTATGTTACCTTATTTACTGTCACACTAAGGTCATGCTCATTACTTTAAAGGTAGAGCAGCAAGTAAGTGAACACATTTGCACGGTGCAAATTCGACAGGCAAACTTTTAGCTGTTAGGATTCCACTGACGAAGAGAGGCTAATGAAAAGTCAATGAGAACTAAAGGCTTAATAGTTCACAGCCTGTGCCTTCTTAAATTCAAAACGACTTTTAAAATTACATCTACCAATATTTAAGTTTATTTGATAAATTAAAGCTGCAGTTCTATCCCTACTTATCTGTAAGTCTTACTGAACTCAACAGGACTTACTTTTGAAAGACATGCATAGGACCACACGCTAATTAATTACATTATTGTGTACCGCTTTATATTTCAACAGAAATCTGCAAGCGATTTACATATACCAACAAAAATCCGTTTTAAAAAACACAATGGAGTGGGAGTGGTGACAACCTCACATTAAACACTAAGCAATACTATTGCTGCTAATTATTATTATTTACACATTTTAAGCAAGATTAGTAGGCAACAACAAATATCTCAAAACAATGGGGAGAAGTAGAGATGTAAAAAAAAAAAAAAGGAAAGCTTTAATACCATATCAGAAATGTTACCCTGATTGTTGGGATGAAACTGAACGGCCTACCACTATCACAGCACTGTCTCATGAACTGGCAGGACAACAGGGAGGAGGAGGAGGAAGATTCTGGTGAGTTGTGCAGCCTGGAATGAGACAGACTGGGGCAAACTGAGGATGGGGAAGGAGAGGTTGGTGTAGGAAGTACTCACAGGATGATGGAGGAGATGGGGTCAATGCACAGGAACCAGAGCAGCAGGACTCATCACCAGACCCAGAGAGGACCCCGTTTCCTGAACACAGTAGGCTCTGGGGTGTAGGGGGCAGCGGGTGGGGAGCACCAGGAGGCTGAGGCAGGCAAGGGCCCACAGCCCAGCTCACTAGCTGGCTAGGTGGGGCTTGCTAGCTCCAGGAGGAAGTGTGTGATTCCTCAGCTGGAGTAGGCTTGGAACAGGTGAGGGTCATATGCCTCATCAAGCCCAGATGCTGCAATCAGCATGCAAAGTATAAAAGGGCAGCAAAGCTGAAGTGCTGTGTCTGCTCAACTGCCCATGTCATAGCTGTCAACTTTTCCCTTTTCTTGCGAGGAATCCTATTCAGAATAAGGGAATTTCCCTTAAAAGGGGGGGAAAGTTGACAGCTATGGCCCATGTTGATGGACCTCAGCTTGGATGTTCTGGAGGACTTTGGACATGTGGATACGTGGACTAGGGACTTTCACACTTTATGTGCATTGCTGCCTTCACACAACAGCTGATATTGTCTATTTTTAACTGATATTTCTTTTAAGGAGTGATTTATATGAAGTGGGTATATGCATTCAACTTGGGAGGGGTGTGTGCTATACCAGCTGTTGTGTGAAAGCAGCAATGCACATAAAACATGAAAGGCAAAAAAATGCCCCTCGATACTGCCGGGAAAGTAGTGGACTTACATACATCCACAAAATTTTATTGATACATTGTAAGATACAAGGTAGTATTATATTATAAAGGAAACACTAACTATTAAGGCGAGTTATCTAACAGATTCTCCCTCCCCGTATTATAGATGTGAATCTGATGTTAGTGGCCTCCTCAGGGTCATACAGAACATCCACTCTGTTTGCATTTTAATGTGAAGCTACTTCATTTGCATTTCTCAAATGAATACACAAACAGAAAAAAGCAATCATTTAAAACTTCGCTTTTCTGCATGTTTTGCAATACAGTGCTCCAACCAAAACAATGCTTATATTAGTGTGCATTACACTAGGCAAGATTACATACAAAACTGTGTATAGTAGATGAAAATATGTAGGCATTTGCATGTGGACATTTTAAAAGCAATCATAAACTAATGTGGAAATGGGAAAAACGGCGATGGGAGAAATGAGAAACTCCGAGAAACTGAAATTGACAGATTTTATGCATGTCAAAATTCAGAATCCACATTGATTCTTCAGGAAAGCTCCTCAGCTAAAGACCAGATTCCTGCTTGGTTGTCTTATCTTTTTGCAAGATCTACTGGAACTATTATTCCAGCATAAATGTTCTTTGTACAGATTTTTTCATGATTAAACTTTTCATCATTCAATACTACTTTTATTGAGATAATTTCAGTGCAAATAACTACAGGCTGTGACCATTTTATGTGCGTCTCATTGACACATGAATGTGCATGCACACATTGCCATGAACCTGAAAGTGGCTAGGAAAGGGGGCATAACGGGGTGGCATGGACTTATGTGCATTCTACCGATGCATGTGAGGGCCAGGAATGCAACCCCTGCTTAAACAGGGAGTTGTCTGTAGTGCAATCTCACTATATCCTCTACAATAAAACGAGTGGCTGGGCTCTTGTGCATTTCAACGGGGCTTCTGCAAGAAACAGCCCTGAACTTACGAGGTCAATGAACTTTTTACAAACGAAACACACTTCTAAATGTTAATACTGATGGAAACATTCATATTTATGTGTTCTACAGAGCATTTATTTCCATTTTGGTTAGCATTTATTTCCATTTTGGTTAGCATTTATTTCCATTTTGGTTAGCGTAAGTTATATAAATCACAAACAGTTCTTTCTGCATCAAAGTTGCCTGCATGAATGTGGTAAATATCAATGCTGTACTTTTAGTATAAAATCAGATATATGGTGGGTTAGCTGTGTCAACCATTGCTATTAACTAATATACAAACCTGGGTAATATAAATTATTTGGCATTATAAAAAGCAACTCTGTTAAGTACAAAAATCTGCTAACATCTATAACTTATAAAATGCAAGAAGCTCAGTATTACGACACGTATTTCTCTTTTACAGTATTTGCATATGTAAGCTGAGACACATGACACATTATACAGAGGAGGATAAAGAATACTGAACACATTAAAGATGTTCAAAAAGGCTAGCACTTCCAGAAATATTAGCACAGGATATAAACATGGAAACAACACAATGAGAATCTCAGAACTGATAGACAAAAGGAGTCACTGACAGTAGTAAAGCATTTGATGTCTATCAGAAGCCTGTCAAAACAGCTCCTCTTGGATACAGATTAATCATGTTTATATTCTTACTGTCAAACTAGTATAGACAGTCATAGGTCTGAGGAAAAACCCAGTGCAGGCACAAACACACACACTCATGCACACACATACATCAGTGTGACAGATGTCTATAAGGATCTTACACCACAACATCTTTCGTAAATAAAAAAAAGAGACAATGTTCATTTTTTAATGAATTTCCACAGATTCTTAGGAATGGGATTCATTTCATCTGTATGATGAAAGCCAATGAAGTGCCTGAAGAACTGTGTTGCTGTTTGTAGCTTAATGTACATTCAAGATCAGTTTAGATAGAAACATGGCATTAGTTCATGAACTGTGTTCTTTTAATGAAGTGTTCAAACGCATCAAAGTTCTATTGATGTTTAAATTCAGCTACCACATAGAACCACCAAAGAACAATCAAAAAGAAAGGGCTTCTCTGCCACCCTTTAGCAGATATGAGGTATTGTTTCACCCTGCAGTATGAAATGCAGTATGGAGTAATCTAAAAATTTTCATCAGAAATTATGGTAAGTGATATTTCCCTGTGTACTAGGCAGGGGCAAGATGAGGCAAGTCAGGTGGCAGGATCCACAGGGGCCGCAATGTAGACCTTGATTTCCTCCCTTGTTCCTGATGTAGATCTTCACTCACCCCTTCTTCCCTGGTTGGG